AAAAGGTACCTACCTACATAATTTACATAATATGCGTAGACTGTCATTGATATTTAAGGCATATGAAAACATATGCAGATATTATGGCTACCTACCTATTTTTTTGATCACCCACCCTCTCATCGCTCAGCCCAAAAAACATGTACAAACAATATATACCTAAATAGAAAATTGAAATGTATTTTAATGTACTGTTATACAAAAATTATGTGAAATATTAGTCATTACAATTATTTAAACATTGAAGTATTCGTCTTCGTTCTGTAACTATATATTAATATATTTGAAGATCTTCAATTAGGTAGGTACTTCATAATGATTCACTGAACTATCAACTATTTTTGTTCAACAAATATGTGACAGGTGCACTGCGCACAGTCTAAAATGATTTTACAATATTTGAAAATAGTTTAACGATCTCTATCATTTAACCAATGTAATGTATATTATTGATAAAAAAAACTTATCATTATAAAATATTAAAATGTATAATTTTCCCAGGAAGGTTTTTGGTACCTATACCTACCTACAAGTTACAACCTACCCTAATAAAAAAAACTCCAGATAGCTATATTATAATAGACCAACAATCCACACCCGTGAGCACTCCTAATACTCCTATATTAATATATTATATGCCATATGGTATAAGCACTAGATATAACTATAAGGCATAAGCCATATTATATGCAGCTTATATGTTGTGCCTGTACGTCGATACTGACTTATAAGTTAATAATAAGTAGGTATTAATTTATTATTATTGATCTTAGTTACATCGGCTACTAGACCATTAGTTATTAATTTACATAGTATTTAGTATTTACATATAGCTTACATTAAAGCTTATGCTTATATAGTTATATTAGATTAGGTATGTTGGTATGTCGTATGTAACTCTATTTCTTTTAAAAAATTAATGATGTTAATATTTTATTGGAGGTCGGGTTGTAAGGCTTTCCCTAGTAGATGTGCTATGCGGTGTTTGTTTTTCAGTCTTTGAAGTTTAGGCATTCAATTAATATGTGTTTGACTGTGTAATCCACTCCACATGATTCGTGTACATAGGGGAATAATTTCTGACCATGAGATGGTTGTGTTGTTAATTTGTGCCCTATTCGGAGACCATTTAAAATCATAATGTATTTTATTTCTGATGTCAACATCCCTTTTTCTCAACGAATACTGCACCATATTCAATAATCCACACACCAAACGATGCTTTATTGCAACCTCTTATCGCAACCTCTTCAATCACTTTCCGATAAAATGCCCGATTTCCTTAAAAATTACTTTTAAATGAAACAAAAAATCACCATCATTAAATATTAATGGATAAACAATACACACAAACACATTTTTGATAATATAACAACCGAAAACGACTGAATAATCCCTTATTCAAATTAATTTTCAGATATTCAATATTAAAACGTAATAAACAAACATCGAACGTGATCTATGGTTTACTGAACAAACATACAAAAAATACATTTTTTCACAAACCTCACGAACATACTAAACCCATGCCATTTATCACGCCTCTGTAATTGTGCGCAGTATACCTACTTCGCACGGGCCAACAAGTAAATAATATTAATAATATTGTTATACAATATAATATATGATAATATGTGCAATGTTTTTGGAACATATAAACTCATCATACGGTACCTATTATTAAAATAAAATATCGATTATAAACGTGTTGATAAAAATAAAAAATTACATATTATACACCCAATATGCATACAATTTTTTAACCTATATTCTGTAGTTTTAAGAACTGAACTCAAATTTGTTTTTCAAAGAATCAAATTGGATCCGAAACCGAAAAAATCCAAGTTAATCCAAATTCCAAGCACTGCTGCCCATCTTTGCTGAGAGGTAATTCCTTCCACCCATAATATTCTGCATGACAACTTCTTGTCCTTGGTGAATATAATATTATTTAATAGAAAACACTCAACACTTTTTAACGATGTTATTTTATCGCATTGTTTTTACTATTCTGTGTAAGAATGAGTATAATTTATCCGTGGTACTACACTACTATATCTACCTATGATTGCATGGACGTTGAGTGCGCCGAGTTATAATAATGATTCGTTAATATTTGTATTTTTGCGCTTTTGGCTAATTCAAATTCAAAAACTTAATACAATATAGGAACCTGTACACAGAAAACAACCCTACAATCTATTTTTATTGAAAACATTATCCGACGCATATTATTGTAATTTATAATATTTCGATTATAACTGAGCCAGCCACCGGAACGATATTGTATTATTAACGCTCCTGGATATTGATTTTGTTTTCCATTCCAAAGTAATCTTTAGTGCGATCGTGAATTATTGTCAAGTCTGCGTTTGTTCTGAATGTTAAGATAGTATCAATATAATAGTACTACAATGACGTTATATTAGTATGTTACTACCTATCGGCTATCTATTGTAACATATTAACATCGAACCGCGGTAAAAACTCAAATATAAAGGAGTGAGTAATTGAGTTCAAACGGAGCACAAAAATAAAAATAATAATTCTACACATCACTATAGGTAATACAATAATATTATAAAACATTGTACATCGTATAGACACTATGACGTGATGTGAATTTGTGATACTTAAATGTGAAGTGAACAACTACAAAAAATAATAGAAACTCGTACCTACATGAAATGTATAAGACTACGTGACGATTTAAAACTGATTGACACTATTTTAATTTTCTATGTATAATGTATATTCTTGTTTTTAAATTAATGTTTTTAAATAGTTTGGAGGATTAAAAACCCATAATTTCCATAAAAGTATCTAGTATTTTATACATTGTTCATATGACTGATAATATAAAAACCGGGACAGTTCTGCTTATAGGTAACACTGTAATTAATGTGTTAGATAAATTGTAATTCAATTATTAATAACGTATGCAAACCTCTATTTCTAAAGATATCTTATAATTATTTACTATCATAGTTACACGGTATTGTTAAATTAATTTTTCTTTTTTTTTTTTTAGTTTTTTTCAGATTATTTTGTCAAGTTCATACCTACTTTTGACCCCTCAAAGTAACAATTAAATCTTATTTTTATACTAGAATTCACTTTCAAAGCAGAAAATTGATGTATATTTTCTTTTCTAAACCTTGACAACTGTAGAAAAATACAAAATGTATATTGTAATGTTCCACTCAAAATCTAAAAGTCAACCAAAGTTAACCTTACCATAAAAAAAATATAAATAGTTTAGTTTTTTTATAAAAATGCTGTGTTTTATTAGTTATACCTATATAAATAAGTAGTTCAACATTTCAAATTGTTTAAGAACATTTTTGAAATTGCAAAAATTGACTTAGAAAATTAGATTAATAATTTAAATTAATTATCTGGCACCTATAGGTGTATGTTTAGTTATATTAGGTGCAGTGCAATGCGCGATGGTTGTACAATGTACATAATAATATGTGCTTACCTGTTGAAAACCGATCGTGCCCTGTCAGCATACGTTTTTAATAACCCAAGTGTGTGCAGGTCAACACGTTGGAATACTTTGAACAAGAAAAAGACAACGACGACAAAATAAAACTAAAAATCGAAAATCGATCAAAAACATCTATATTTCATATTTATATTTACAGACATTTTTGGCAATACAATATAATAATAATAGTAAAATCGAAATAATGTTTTCTAAAAATTAAATCAAATGCTGAATCGTTGTTGTTTATATTTCCCATGAATACAGAACAATATTATAGTATTACGTTCACTCGGCTTATGTTTATGTATATATATATATATATATATTATACATTGTATCGTTCAATCGTCGTTACATGTATAATATAATATTTTACGCATATTGCATATAACATACACACGTGTTACGAATAACATAATACATTAGTGTAATATATATATAGTGATGACAAAAAAATAAAACAACGTTTTTGTTATAGATAATAAATATTAAACTTACAACATAATTGGTGCCCATAAATATTACCAGAAAAATCTACTACATAAAAAAAAATTAATTATAGTAAACTAAAATTGTTTTTTTTTAACACTCTAATTTATACAAATATTAGACAGGCTTATCTTTTTTTTAAAAAAAATGTATAAAATCTTATAGAAACGTCACGACGCGAAATTTCATATAATTAAGCTCGGATGGGGGAGGGATTAGGATATTTTTCGGATAAGACATTAACTGTGTATATTGTATAATATTATTATTATAGTAACCTCAGTGGGCCTTACAGGTTTATTGCAATATGGATTACAAAAAAAAGTGGCCGACATTATACGATGATTGTTGATGCTTAGCTATAAATTATTTTATTAATAAAAGTATAATACATGTATAATATAGTATTTAATATTTATAAATATTTATAATTATAATATTAATATATAGGTATACGAGATATAAATAATATACCTGAGATGGGCTTAATTACAGTGACTAGAATAATAATGTGACTAAAGATAAAAATCATATAATATAAGATATAATCTAAAAATTAAGAAAGAAAAACAAACAAAAAACAAGACGAAGACGTATTTATCGTTAAGTACTCACACAGAAATTGATAACGTTAAGGCGCGCACGCAACCTACCTACATATTATTATCGACCTACCTAGTTAATTAAATTATCATATTTGAAACCAAGACTATTATTTTTATATTTTATTGAGCTTATATAATTACCCTTAAAATACTCGTTTTTATGTTATAATTTTTTTAATTTTTATTAAAAATGTATTTTTATAATTCAAAATAAAACGAAAAAATACACGATATTGGAAATGTATTACAATTATTTTTTATATTTTTCATCAAATAAAAAATAAATGATTGCGTTAATAAAATGTAAAGAAAATGTAAGTTTGACCGGATCCAATGCCGACAGGGCAGCGTGGCACGGCTGTGTGGGCGGCGGCGGCGGCAGCGCCGAGTTGAGTGTGCAAAATAAAAATCGTTCACATTATTACACACTTCCCTTTTTCCGCCCAAGGGTTGTTCTTTTTGTCTGGAGCGTGGATTAATGGATCGGTTTTTTCGTTTTCCTCAACGAACTCTCTCATTCTGCGAACAGTTAAAATAAACAAAACAAATTTAATTCCAATATTTATAATATTATTATAGGCGCCTAAAATTTTAAAATAAAAATATATGTCACAAGTCACAAGCGTTTTCATCGCGTGTGCCGACTTTATACGCATTTTCTTATACAACAACATGCATGCCATGTTTAATGTGTTTTGGTAAATCTTTTACACTGATATATTTTTCAACCATATTTTCTCAGTCTGACTTTTGTTTTCACTAAAACTTTTTTGGTCCCACCATCATTCACCACTCCATTTACCATTCAACACAAGTTGCACTAAGATTACTTTCTGTTATAGTCTCAAATATTAAATAATATGTTATTGGTACTGCACACCACACACCTGAATACCTGACTTAATATACAGCACAATAACTCAATAATAAATACACTCTTAACATATTTTTTATTTGATTTCCTGATCGTATGTGACATACTGACATGACGTGTATCGTACATCGAATCTAAAAACCATTATTTTAATAATAAAATATCAAGGACTACCTACTAGTTACGACATACGAATGCAATTTTTTTTATCTGAACACTAATAATACATTATTTGGTAATAACTAAAAGATTGAAAAATATTTAAAAAAAAAATTTTTAACATTATCTTACATAGATAATAGATACAATTAGTGGTTAAATCATTATTTTATGATGAATTTGATTAAAAATGCGTGAACTTGACTTAAGTACCTACTCAATAATTTTCGTATTCAGCTACCTGGGTGTGAAACAAACTGAACAAACTGACCGAAACATTGACAGAATATATTATGATTTAATAGACCGTTAAAATGCTGTGATAGGTTTCGTTCATAATATTATCAATGTGACAAAGCACACTTTGAAATATCCCATGAATAATATATATTATAAATATAGGATTTTATATAATACGATATTAGTAATTATTGTTGTATACGATTTAGGTTATGTCTTCACTCTTCAGTGTTTTTAAAATGGTAGGGACGTAGCTAGGTTGTACGTAATTATTTACAAATTTAATGTTTACTGTAGATATGTAGTTTTTTTTTATTATATTAGAGTTATATAGGTAGGTACTTATACATTTGAGATTCTGAACAATTAGCATTTAGTTCAAACAATTAATTAGAAGATGCGGTGAAGTTGTACCGTGTGAAATATTCCATGCATGCATAAATTATATTATATCCAGAATTCCAAACCATTAGATAAGAAAATAGTTCGACATATTACGTGGTTTGACAAAAAATGTTTATTTTACATTTAAACTATAAATAAACTATATTTAAGATTGTAGACTGTTAATAATTTTGATTAAATAATAAATTGAAAAATTAAATATCGGATGAAAATTAAATTCTGAATTCAAACCAATACCACAACTTTTTGAAGTAAAAATAAAATAATGAAACAAATTATATGTTTGTATATTACAATAAATTTACGATAAATATATATATTTTATTTGACTAAAATGTAATAACTTTATTGTGGTTGCAATTTTAACAACGTTATTCAGATAAATATAGGACATAGACAAATATTAAGGGTTGGAAACCATCGCGTTTCTCGTATAATATACGAAAATTATCAGCTGTTTGTTATATACCTACGTAATAGGTACTTAATAGTATAATAAATTATAATCTTTAATATGAATATAATATTACAAAAGAAGAAACTGTCTGATTAAAAAACATATCAAGGCATATACCAAACCGCTGGGTCTAGGTATTTTAAATTTTCCACAGAGGTTCCTTATGTTATAATGTAGCCATGTATATAGGCCAGTACATAATAAAGAGATATTTTTTTTAAATGTAACCACTAAATATTGAAAAGTGGTGTTAATGTTAATATTTGTAACCGAAACTTCTTATCTTATTGCCAAGTGGTTTTTTTTTAATTTACATAGATCTCTGCGGACCTGGTTTAAACTTTTAAGTATATAGTTTTATAGATCAAACTCATATCCCCGAAAAATTGAGCAATGAAATAGGAATAAACCCGTGGCGCCATCTATTCAGATTCTTAAAACAATTTTCTATGATGCAATGAGATCCTCATATTAAAAATCTACGTTATTTATATTTTTTGTTCATTTATCTACTCGGAAAACCTTAACCGATTTCAGTGTTCATGAAGTTCATTTGAACAGAAATTTACCAATCGCTATATCCAATCTACCACATAAGGAATTCGCATCTCAGTCGAATTAGTCATACGAGGTACACCGATAACAAATTGCCCAGTGAGCCGAGGTACACTCAAACTAAAATACACTGGATGCCGTATAATATATTATTTTCATTTTTTCCCAGTCCAAATCGGATCATAAAGCACGTATATTTATATTTGTACCTCTATTTATACAAAAAATTGTTTTGTTAAATAATTACCAAGGCAACCAGTATTAGACTTTTTTTGTTAATTTTAAGATGGTTTGAAAGTGACAAGCGATGAAATCAAAAAAATCAAAATTAGAAAGCCAGCAAACAGATGATCCTGAATATTTAGATATTGGTAATGTAACGGAAAAATGTTAACATTGAAATCGTTAGTATTTCAAAATGAAAAGTGGAGATCAGCAAACACTTGCAGCCAGAGGGACAACTCTTTGAGAAAGTTGGATTATTTGTTACATGTAAAGAGACTTTATTTACACATGATTAATTGCGCATAGCATTTTTACGATGTAAAAGTGGTAGGGGAATCAGGATTAAGTTCACATTTGGAGAGAAATCAATTAATGTATATTGCATTTGATGACGCATTACAGTAACGTGTAATATTTTAATATTAATTATATTATATTGATTTTATTTATATTTTTTAATATTTCAATGTAAATAAATGTTATCTAACAATTTATAAAATATGTTATTTATTTTGTGTGTAATTTTAATTATTATGTATTCAGATATTTATATTAGAGCTATAATGTTTAGCTCGCAAAATAAAGATAGGTATATGCTTTATTATATTATATTGGTATTATAATGGCTATAAACCAAACACTGAGGCTAGAACTATATGAATATTATTATATTATATTTATATTTCTCTATAAGTGGGGAACAATGATATAGGTGATGATACTATTATATTAATGTGTGTTATGTAATATCTTTAGATTACCTATATCTATAAATTATGCTTTTACATTGCAGCGAGTAAATCTTTTTAAGGTTTAGCAGATCAAAATCAAAACATTTCCATAATGACATCCGGTACCGGTTTGTGTGAGCGAAGATATCCATCATCCGCCATAATATTGTATACATTCAATACGATTCTGATGGTTGTATTGAGACGAAATTATGACAGTGATCATTTTTACTCGGATGTTTATTGTATATACTATATAGGTAAACGTGAAAGCCGACCAAATCACCGAAATAATGATATTATATATTTCGTTTGCGAGATAATGTATTTTTGATCATATATTTAAAGTATCGTGTCCTAGTGAGGGCACACTCTGGCGTGTCGTCGAAAATCACTGTAGTACAATGGACTTGATGCGCCATGTAGGATAATCGAGCTATTTTACGTATCTTATTGTTATATAATACCACAGATGAAGTCAGTCAGAAATAAATTACAGTACCTATTACACAGCGCAATATCTGAGCCCTTGCACCTCCTTAGTTTCAACTGATATCCATTCACTCACGTTAGCTGCACTTATAGCAGCTATAACTTACGCAGGTGTATTACACTACTATATTATATTATTATATAGGTAGACACCTATTATTATTTATTATTATATATACATAATATAAATACCTAAGCACGGTTTTCATGATCATTGTTTACGATGTAAATCTATATAATAATAAATATTATGCTTCTCGGAGTTTATTCATACACACATATGTTGTTATCAGTTATCATTTATCACACATATCCAGCGTTATACTTACATTATCCGCTGAATTAGAATAATGGCGATTATTCATTAATCATTATACACATGGATACGTGGAGTCATACACGTCATACTGTTATTGTTTATTTAAGTACTACACCTCCAATTATTTCATATATCCTTATAGCTTATAAGAGATAGGTTTATTTTACATAGGTACCTATATATTAAGTGTAACAAATAGGTCAGCGATAGAAAAACGAGCATTTTCAAAGTAAAATTCTATTAATAAATTAAAGTAAAGTCAGCATAATATAAGTACTATTGTGAATTCTGATTTAAAATACTATTTTATAAATTCTTAATCAGATTATAAACATTACATCATCTTTATAAACACATTTTATCACGGAAAATATTATTACTATTTTTTTTTAGTTTAATATGGTTTATCATTAGGTATTCTATTACACGTTTAGGTTATACAGACTAAATAAATTCAATATTTAATTTTAATTAATAGTTAGTGCACAGATTACACAGATTAAGCAGTTTTAATTAAATTAACAGCATTCGAAATACATTACCTAGTATCTATATTTTACTTCATATATTGTACCTACCTACCTATTTAATTTACCCATGTAATATACATTGACTTGAAAGTGTATTAACGGCTATGTATTTCTACTAGCGTTTCTACAGTTCTACACATCACAAACTTATAATATTATCAACATTTTATTTCAAATTGATTGATAATACAATTATACTAATATTATAGGCATGCACCATAGATTATTAGATACTTATTTATGAACACGGTCTATAGGTACAAAGAATTGAAATATGCACTGATCACACAATTTAAATTTTATTAAATAAGAGCATTATGTAGTAACTACTTTTAAACACACTTCGTTTTTAATAAATAAAAATTTTGTTCAATGTTTTATTTCTTATACAGTTAAACAGTATTTATTTATTATTAGGTAGTAGAATGTAGATGTGAATATGAATAATTTTAAACTAAAAACTCTTCATATTTCCTTTAATACAATTTGCATACTTTAATAGCTGCAACTTTAAAATATGGGCATTCAAACA